TATGTGATTTGCCGAATGTAATTAAAGGCACACTTCAGCCTTTTGAATGATGGTTTTTAAGGCGCATTTCAGCCCTTTTAATTGAAAAAACTAGCAAAATCAATTATGCATTATTCAAGATCAGTAAACTCGATGTTTTTAACAATTTCAAAAGGCTGAACTGTGCCTTTAAATCATAAATAATCACTATGATAGTTCAATATAAACTATGATTTTTTTCACAAACCCGATTCGTCGTCTGACTCTAACTTGCTCTTGATAACATCTTGAAGTTTGGGCGATGGTTTCTTTACTCTAACATTATTTGGGTCTTTCGGTGTGATTGGTCCAGTTTTTCGAACTATGGCAAGAGCTAGTTTCTAAACGCAAAAACACAATGGACACTTAATAGACTTTATACTGGACAGGTCTACTAGTTCTAAATTTTTCTCCCTAGAGGTTCAGTAATGGCCATTTTATTGCCGTCCAGTGTCACTATACAGCAGTGGCGGCGGAACAGGGGGCTAGGGGGGGGACCATTTATACAAACTACGAAGTCTTCAAATTACTGCTCGCCGGCTAAAATGCAAAAGACAATATCCTACTTTGTGATCAACTCCAGATCAAGTGAATGTAATGGATTTCGTTTTTCTTGTCTTGATCAAAATTGCATCTATAACTGGATCATCCATTGATTCTAACCCACGACTTCAAATAGAACATAGAATAAGAACTTCATTTGCTTCAGAACTGCATTTATCTTGTGTTTGTGCTTTTTGTGTCAAAGCGAGAGTATGGACTATGGAATACAATTGTATTTCTAGCTTGGTTAACATTTTTAAATCATTAAAATGCTTAATAGTATGTTTTATGTCCAGTCAGCCAAAATTTAACACTGCATGCTTATGCCTGATTGCGCAAATTGTATAGTGTGATCTTTTCAAGCTTTTTGCGGCTTATAATTGGTCGTTAATTTGCTTCGATTGCTCATTAATTCATCGTGAGTCATTGAGATCAAATGATCTATGCATAATAGACAATTTCCATTATAGACTAATTTTAAAATTAGGCAAGGAAACTCAAATAAATCACCACAGCTAGAAAGAGCATACTAAAATTAGTACAATTACAAAGTTTGGTTGCGAAATGTTGTAAAATGAGGAAAATATAGCCTTGCAAAGTTCGCAAATTTTGTATACTTTTGTATTGCTTGCGGAAATTCCTACCACATTCCTACCATGCATTTAGGCCGAAAATGGCGCACGCAATACAAAAGTATACAAAATTTGCGAACTTTGCAAGGCTATATTTTCCACATTTTACAACATTTCGCAACCAAATTTTGTAATTTTACTAATTTTAGTATGCTCTTTCTAGCTGTGGTGATTTATTTGCATCTCCTTGCCTAGTTTTAAAATTAGTCTATAATGGGAATTGTCTATTGCATATCCGTATTTTTGTAGATTTTGAACAATTTTTCAAAGGTAGGAGAAATCACTACACGCTATGCCGTTTGTGGTTCGTGTTTCCACTTAGTCAAAAACTTTTTTTAAATTTAGCCCCCCTCCAAAAAAAAAAATGTTCCGCCGACCCTGATACAGTCCTTCGTGAAGAAACTAACTGATCCAGTGTACAATATGACAGAAACCTGAGACAAATAGGAAGTACTCTCATTTAAGGCCATTTTCACTCAAGAAAAATTTCCACGGACAGAAAATGTTCCAAGAATATCAATTTTTAAAAGTTATAAATTTTCTATAAAAATGAGTGAAACCTGGTCCCACCTAGGTTTTTGCTGCCCCCTGACCAAAAATCCTGGCTACGCTTCTGTATTGATATTATTTCTACTAGTATATATATATTACTTAGATTCTGCACTTCACTTGGTAGAATTAATATTAGAATTAGAATGTTAGGGTTTGGAATCCAAGTGAGAATACAGACTGCGAAAAACGCAGCACAAGGTCCTCTGGTAGGAAACAAACCTTGTGCTGCATTTTTCGCAGGACCTTGTGCTGCATTTTTCGCAGTCGTTCCTGGTTAGGTCTTAAAATGTATATATTCTCACTTGGATTCCAAACCCTAACATTCTAATATATATATATTACTTTTTCTACTGACATTCACAGTTCGTATTCACACAGTAAATTTTTACTATACCTTGGCCTTATCTGGGTTGCTTGACGAGTTTCTCGCGAAATTTAACGGGACATTTTCGTCGAAGACTACATCATCGTCGAAATTTAAACCTCGTCCTAAGACCGGTGTCTTGGGAGTTGGGGAATCTTTAGAGGTCGTCGACTCGGTTGAGGACTTGGTTCGAGTTTTGGAGACAGAGGATGTGGACTGACGTTCCTTCTTACGTTGGACGTTGTTTGCTTTGAGAAATTCTGAAGCGGACAACACAGGCTTCGGTTCATTTACCTCTGAAATAGAGTGAATTACGGATAAGGCTACATCTACGCTATGCCGGATAGCTTCCTCGGTGCACTGAAATATTTTTCTGTTAAACACTTAAAATATGACATCCAGTTTGACAACTTGTTAGTGTCACACAATTTTTCCACCCCATACCTTTCTCTTTCTCGTCTTCTTTGTGAAGATGTAATTTCAAATTCCTTGAGCCCACTGTCGGGACATTCAGCAGACCGATACTAAAAGTTAGCAAGACGAATAAAGATGAACTATCAGTTCCATACTGTATTCCATAGAGGCCCGATAATATCAACGAGGTCCCCCCCCCTTGTTGTATCAACGTTACCATGCAGAAGATGAAGGCCAAACTAGTATTTAATACTAGACAGTTCTTGTCACTTGTGAAATTATAATCACACAACTACGTATTATTGCGACAGTTGAACGATTCATTCTGAGAATTGGGGGGAAATATAAAATTGTTTCTTACAAATCGTCTGAAGGACCATCTTTGTTTCCTGACGATTCTCCTATTAAAGAAAAAGATTTCTATTAGGAATTTATGATTATGATTATGATTATTCAGCTTACTCCCCATTGGGGCTTCTCAGTGACCGATTACATCAAGTATTACGCTTACTTATATTACCTACTAAGCTTAGACTATTTATTTTTACAACAATTATTGTGACATTACTTTCTTAACTGTGTTTATCCTAACCCACCCTGTCAACTTTCCCTGTGGGAGGAAACCGGAGCGTCCAGAGAAAACCTACGACTCTCGGCAGAGCGTTGACTGACTCTTTTCACACGAGTCCACGCACGAGTCCATAGCGAGACTCGAATCCACGATCTCAGAGGTGAACGGCGCTTGCCCTGAAGACTGCGCCAGAAAGGAAAGAGAAATATTTTGTGCATACAAATGTTTTACATTACAGTAGTGTTATAGGATTAGGTTAGTTTAAAATTGGATGAGAAATTAGGGAAAAATTGTCTTGGTTTTCTGGGTAGAGTAAACTATAGATGTGTAATTATAGCCGTTGTATTATACAGTCTCTGAGTGTCCTCTGTAGTTTAAATCATACTATCATAGTCTCTCGAGACATGGTCTGGAAACTCAGTAAACTTCAAAGCGGTTATAATCATCTGGAATTTTATGTTGAGCCGTACCTTACACCGTGCACATCCTTTGGTTTAGGTTTATTAATATTTAAATAGTATGGTTGAATGACTGAACTGAAACTTTGCTATTGGATGATTCGTTCATTATACTGAAATACAATGTGTTCATTGACTGTGCACCGTGCACAAAACTGCATAAACGCGAACAAAAAGATAGAACAAAGACTTTAGCGAAGTTTCCAAACCTTGTTTTGAAAGACTATGTTTAAACTGTGGTCATTACTTATGAAATTTCACAAACCTGAAGTGTTTTTTTCGCTTTGTTTCTCTTTCCAAGCGTTAAGATAATCTTTCCCTCCAGAACTCGGCGCAGCCAGACTCTTCAGTGTCACTTTCTCTTTACGAGGTGGCGCAGCAGGAGACGACGAGACAATCTTCCCGCCATAGAAGAACGACTCACCCGCAACTTTCTGCTTTAGATTACTGCCAGGAAGTTTTGATGGCGCTCCGTATCTACAACAAAGAAAAGGTCTGTTGACATGGAGATAGGGTAAACGTAGAGACTGGGTTACCCTTGTCTGTAGTCGTTCCGTTGACATGCAAGCTATAGTCTCATCCAGTGAACTGTAATAACACCTTCCCGTTGTAATAACACCTTCGTTCCCTTGGAGTTCACTGGTCTCATCCAACTATGCATGGCTCAATCATGACAAAAGGATTTTGTTTATAAAGGGAGCCAGGTAGATGCATGAAAGAGTGCAGTATTCAGGCACAGATTTGCGCACGGGGGTGCGCACCC